CGAGCATGGGAATGTGGAGACTTGCACCTACTTTGGCGGGCTCTGCAGGATTGTTCGGGCCAGCCCGAAATCGTTTGTGGACGATGTGGTAAACGCGTTCGAGAAGCTGACAGATGAGAAAAAATCAAAGTGTCTCGAGTTCTTGTTCACTAACCATCCGGTTATGCTTTTGCACCCGTATACTAAGGAGTGGAAGCTGAAGTTGGAGGAGATGGAGTTGGGTTGTGATGCACCGGACGAGTTTGAGTTTGAAGATGGTGAAAAGGAGATTCTTGATTGGGTTGAGGATGATAGTAATAATGATGATAATAATGATGATGAGTATGATGAAGATGATGATGATGATGATAATGGAGTGCCGGATGATGTCATTGATGACGTGAAAGGAGAAGGGGATGAGTTGCTAGGGATTCGAGAGGATGAGGATGAGTCTGGCCCCGAGCAAAATGCGGAGTATTGGGATGAAGAATTTAAGAAGGCGATGAGGAGCAACGAGGGTATGGAGAAGCTTGTGGAGAGGAGTATAGAGACGGCTAATAAGTTTTACGAGGGTCAAATGGGGTTAAATGAAGAGGAGAGTAATAAAGGGAGGGATTTGAAGGGAGATGGGGATGAGTTGGAGATGAGAGGGAAAAGGGCGAAAGTGAGTCGAGAAGAATGGAAGCTTCTGGGCTACGGGCCGTACAGGAGAAAGGTTCGCAAGAGTAAGATGCCACCCGGGTTGTTTTTGAAAGCGGCTGTTCGGCCGTTCACTTACAGGAATCTGGTGAAAGAGATTGTGCTCACGAGGCACGCGATTGTTGAAGGGGAAATTGGTATGAAGAAGAAGAAGTGACTGTGTTGAGGGCTTTTTTCTTTTTTTTTTTTTTGATAGTTTTGTGATCAGAGAGCTTGTTCTAGGTTCGACGGGTATAGGTTCGACGGGTAGGGAATAAATCGAACCTCATCGTGTGTAATTTAATGTGTTCTGATGGGTTTGTAGTTTTGTATGTTTTGGAATATGAGCTTCAACATTGATCCATGATATACACAACTTGCCTTCTTTGTGCAGAGTTCTTATCCGTTTTTCTAAGTGGAATAAACAAAAATGCACTCATGTACATGTATAGAAGATGGTTTTTATACTAACATCATAACAGCAAATGTATGAGATTACAATAAAAGACTGAAAACTTGTTTGACTGCAAATCAGTTGAGAGTTAAAATTGCATATTTAGTTACGAGTTGCTCGTCTGAAATCTAAAAATGGTAAGCACAGTTGAGTTTTTTTTTTTTTTTTCAATCAATATTAGTTGCACAAATTTCAAATTTAGTCTTAACTAAAAACGTAGAATTACTTCTAAAGTTGATTTCAAAATAAAATATTTATTATGAGCAAGTACTGATGAATATTGGTTTTTAATTGATTTTTAATAACTAAAATTTAGAATTATTTCTATAGTTGATTTCAAAATAAATGTTTTCATTTGATGAAGCATTGATGAATGTTGTTTTTTTTAGAGCATGTAAAAATTAAAATATAACTAGGTAGTCATTCAAAAATTTAAAAGAAAAATAAAAAACTTCCGAAGATCTGAACCGAACCGTTCCAATAGTATCGAATACTAAATCGAACCAAACCGAAAAATAAATATCTCCAAGTCGAATCGTCTCTATCATTTGGTAAGGTTTCGAAGATCGAATTTAGTGATTTCCGAATTTTGATACGATTAATGAGATTTCTCAATATCCAAAACCGTATCGACCCATACTTAGCCCTAGTTTGTAGTGGATAACCATTGTGCCGATGGTCTACGGGAAAGGATACAAAGTCCGGTTTTGGTGACATGTGGCTAAATCGGGTGGATCATTTGATAAAGTTTGCGACGGCTCTGGTGCTGGAGACGATGCTTGACACCACGGTTTCTACGTATATTACGTCGGACGGCGGATAGAACTGGCTAATGTTTTAAAGCTTATTACCGGTCACTTGTTTGCTGCGAATTTCCGCTCATCCTGCGCCACACAAGCATGGAGGGGAGGACGGTGTTTTCTGGGGGCTGTCGGCGAATGGAAAATTCACTGCCAAGTCAGCTTATATGGCGTTAATGCAGCCCTCGGGGCGACGGGATGACAGGCTATGGAAAGCGATTTGGATGTGGGTGGGCCCGCAGGGGGTACGACATTTTCTATGGCTAGTCGCTCGTGATAGCATGTTGGCAAATGCGGCGCGGCATCAACGACATATGGCGGAGAGTCCGGCCTGTTCGATTTGCATGGAAGAGTGTGAATCAACAACTCACGCTCTGTGTGATTGTCCGACGGCGAACCAAACTTGGAAATCCCTAGCAGCCAATGGAACCTGTTCATCTCTTCAAATCTTAGGGGTTGGCTTTTAAATAATCTAACGGGCGATTTAACTGGTACGAGAGAAAATTGGGATTCTCTTTTTCGACTCACGGCTTGGCGTTTATGGCGGTGGCGAAATTACAAATATTCCAAGGGTCCAACATTACTATACACCAATGGATGGGTGAGGTGTGTTCTTATGCGGACATGATGCGACGTGCATTGGCTGGGAGCAGTAAGCTTGGAGCGAGTGGTGTACGTGAGCTACATTGGATTTCTTTGTCGTTCTCGGTAGAGCATGAGTTGAAGGTCAATACGGATAGTAGTTTCAATCCGTCGACCGGAATGGCTAGCGCTGGTGGAGTCATTCGTGATCACACGGGACATGGGTGCGGGGTTTTTTATGAAAATCGGGCTTTGCTCAATTATTGGAGCAGAATTATGAGGTTTGTTTCAGGATTTTCAGTTGGCATGGGATACCGGGGCACGTAAGATTAAGGTTGAAGTGGACAATTAGAGCATAATCGATATGGTGCAATATGAGCATTACAGGGCGGGCGCATGGAAGCATTTTGAAGGAAATACAGGAGCTTCTGGGTCGCCCATAGATGGTGGACATCATTCATGGCTATAAGGAAACAAATTTTGTGGCGGACGTCTTGGCATTCTTGGGGGCTAGAGGCCCGGGTGATCTTCATAGGTTGGAGAGTCCTCCGCCAGGGGCGAGTATATGGTTAAATCATGATTTGGTCGGGTGTCTTATCCTCGACGGATTCTTACGTATGTTATACATAGTCCTGACCTCTCTTTATTGTAAAAAAAATAAAAAAAAAAAAATCTCAAAATAAATATATTTATATAAATAGGAAATAGAAATAAAGAAAATCAACCCGAGGGATAAAGCAAAGTTGCCTCAATTTTCTCTATTTTATAGACCAACCCAAAAACCCCAACACACAGATAATCGAAAAGGCGAACGCAGGTAAAAACTAGCGACCAAAATGGCAGGAATTTCTCAGGACTGGGAGCCGGTGGTGATCCGCAAGAAAGCACCCACGGCCGCCGCTAGGAAAGATGAGAAAGCCGTCAACGCCGCCCGCCGCGCTGGGGCCGAGATCGAAACAGTCAGGAAGTGTGCGTTTGCTGCTCTTGTTGTGTGTCTTCTGTGCATATCCGCTTGATATTTAGGTTTTCGATTTAGTATTTTGGTTTGAATTTGTTTATTTTGTTTAGGGTCTGTGTAATCATCTGGAAAATTGATCTATGAGTCGATTATCTGTTTTTATCGTGTTGGGTTTTCCTCTTTTCATCTCCTGTTTTTATCTGGGTGCAATTTATGGGTTTTTGTTTCTTTGTTTGCCTAATGTTTTGATCTTCTTCCTCATTGTGCCCGTAAAACACTGGCGTTTGTGGTAAAAATTACTATGCCGTTATCTTTGTTCGTCTGAGTTGTATTTGCTTGATATGTTGGTTAATTTTCGGAGATTAAATGATTAATTTTTTGGGTTATCGAAGATTTATTCCCGGTGTAGGGCTTTTGCATTTGTTGAGCAGTTTATCTCATGGTTAAGTGAGTATTTGAAAATCCATTGTTGTATTCAAAAGTTTGAGGCGCTTAAGAGCTAGCTAATTTCTTATAAGTTAACTGATAGCCCATTAACTTAGAGCTGATAGCTGATAGTTTTGGTGATGACTGAGCAGCTAGTTGGTATAATTAAAGTGTCATGTAAAATCAGCTGATAAATCAACAAAATAGAAATCTGAATTGGCTTTTTTGAAACGCTATGTAGATTAGTATTTGATATAAGCTCGAGCATTTTTAGAAGTTCATCCTACCAAACCTAACTTATTCGAATAGAAGAAACTTATAAACAAACTACACAAGCTATAAGCTTAGCTTGTGGTGCTTAACACACACACTCAAAAAGAGAACAAAAATATGAGAAAAGGGAAATGAAAATAAAGATAAACAGGAACTGAAGTTAGAGCTCAACTTTGCAGGTTTTGTTTTCTTGTGCACCTGAAAGGCCTATACCTAGTTGTGTTCGCAATGGATTTATGAATGCCTGCAAATTCTACTGCATGGGACTCTGTAATTCGTATCTGTATTTGTCTGATGCCATTAACTTACTTCTTGGCTAATAGCCCAATAATCAATGATTAACGACTAACAACATTTTATGCTGCAGCTGCTGCGGGGACAAACAAAGCTGCTTCAAGCAGTACTTCTTTGAACACTAGGAAGCTTGATGAAGACACTGAAAATCTTACTCGTAAGTCGAAATACTTTAGGGTATATGGCATCTCAGATTTGGTAAGTTAAATTATATCTATTTATGTCTTGTGGCCGCATTCTTAATTTGGAATTTGTCGAATATTGGCTGTATGTATTGGTTTACATTTGCTCTAGCAGCCACAATACCCTCTTATGAAGTAGGCAGAGATGAACAAGCTTGTTTACTTATTTTATTTTGACCAAGTTAAGTTGCGTGGTTAAAAGGTTTTCACAACTTTTTTAAGTTTTAACATTCCATTCCTCCAGATGTGCTAAACTAAATTTTAAGTGAAATCTTAAAAATTTTGACCCCAAATCCATATCTTCGCTTTCATCTATAATAGCACTCTGAAATGCATCTTATCTAATAAAACATTACATATTATGTCTTCTAGTTTCGTTGTGCTTTTAGGGCTGTGTAAATGGAATATCTTTGTCCGGTTCTTACCATAAAATCAGTCGGGTTAGGATTTTGAGCTGGGTTAGATTATATATTGTCCAGGTGTTTGAAATGCCAATCAATAATTTTGGGGTTGTACATGAAAAATCTGAATGTGGGATGTAATCCGATGCATTATTAGCATCTTTAGAAACTACCATTCTCGTTTTTCTCTCTATAGAGATAACCTCCAATCGAGCCTTCTACGAGATATCATTGAAAATAACATACCATGTGTATTTTTTGGTATCATTTTTGGATTATATATGCTGAATTGTATGGAAATGATAGTTTTCTACTTGCATATGTCCCAGAAAAATTGCAATTTAATTATATTTTTGGTTAATCCAATGTCATAAGTGTTTACACTGGTCAACAATGAAGTACTCCACCAAATTTCGAACTTTTAATCAACAAATAAAAGCTCCATAGAAAGGTTCTCTCTTGAAGTAAAATAAGTTTGAACTGGAGAGTACAAGAATAAAGCTGGCATGTATTCATGATTAAGAAGTGAAAGTTGAGTCTGTAGGGTTATTTACTGAAAAAATCTTGATAGCAATTTTAGCAAAAATGTCACGAACCATATTGCCCTAGGTTTTATTCACGATAAAAAGCTTTGCGTAGAGAAAAGTTTTTCATGTCTGATAGTTTGGATGTTGTTGCACTTTATGTTTCAATTTTTGGTGTGGATTTGTACTATTGTTTGTCTTGAGGTTCACTAATTTGGATTTCAACATGTTGCCATTCTTCTGTAACTTCCATTTAGAAAATATATTAACAATAAAAACACTGCATTAAGAGAAATCTACTTGGTGGGTATAACAGATGTGACATGGCCATTTCATAACATAGCTTTTTTTTAACAATTTTCATTATTATAACAGATGAGAAGGTCCCATCTGAGCTGAAGAAGGCAATAATGCAGGCCCGGATGGATAAGAAACTCACACAAGCTCAACTCGCTCAGGTTTCATTTCTCATCTCACGTTCAGCTCACGGCTCGAGTATACTAATGTGTCTTTTGTTTTATTAATTGAATCTCATATGACTAATTGCAGTTGATAAACGAGAAACCCCAGATCATACAGGAGTATGAATCTGGGAAAGCTATCCCCAACCAGCAGATCATTTCCAAACTGGAGAGGGCTCTCGGTGTGAAACTACGTGGAAAGAAATAAAAAAAAAAATAGTTAAATGAGGAAAGTGAATCCTTTTCATTGCCCTTCTGAGTTCTAAAAAGTTGTGATGTACATGAAATCTTTCGTGGTTTGTCCGTTTTTCTGCTGTTCAGTCATGAAATCTTTCGTGCTTGTTCATTTTCTTCTTCTGTTCATCTTGTCGCTCGTGCACTGCTACTATAGTGTTTCGGCTTTCCTTGTGAACTGTGGTGTGTTCTGTTGCTGGAAATAGTAGAAATTTGAGAGCTTTGGTTATTAATCCTTTTAACACCGTTCCTCGTTATTTTTGTGTTTTTAACTTTTTATCGTTGCCTATGAGTTGAAAACAGCAAATGAGTATATACACGATCGTGAGTTTTGTGATATTTGGTTTGTTTTTCTGCGTGGCCCTCTATTTTTAATGTAAAATA